ATTAGTTATATTCCAAAGTGCCTTCATGATTTCTCACATCAAGGAATAGTGAGAGATAATGCAAGAAACCATAAAAGCATTTTGAATATTGCTATTTTTCACTGGTTATATTGCATATTAAGATATCGGCTGTTTCCTGTGATTTTATTGCATACAGTATGTATACATAATATTCAGAGTATTATATTTGTTGATGCCCAGATTATCAGATTATTCATTGCATTTGAATTAAGCAAAAGCTAAGGCTCTTTGCAGCTGTTAATCTGACCCAACAAAATACTGTGTAATTAAATCTCTCATATCATATTAATATTGTTTATGAAAAGTTTCTCGGATGCCAGCATTTATATTCCCCATATATAAACTACAGTAAACTCTTAACTATATTATTTTATGATCATGCAGAGGCATGCTAAACAGTGGCTTCAACAGCCCAACAATAAAGGAAATAGTACTGTTGGTTGGTGGACGTTTTACATGCATGACCACAAACTCAGAAGGGAGTTCCTTCAATGATAGATACAGAGAAAATAAACATGTATAAACTGAGACACTTCAGTAGTAAGATACAAAACCCTGCCAGGTTAACTGACAGCTCTCACAGAGTAAGGTGGCCTTCCTCCACCTGAGAATGATCCAGTATTTGTAAGGAAGTTGGCCATATAACAAATATTCCTAGTATACTAAAACATTGCCAATGGTAAGTGGAAGAGACAGCAAGACAAGTGGATGACAACACACAAAACAGTGCAAGTCTTTATAACATCAGAATGTTGTTAAAGGGGAGAGAAATACTGAATAATAAGTAACAGGGGCTAATGCTGCTTTGTGTCTTTTCATTCAAGCCACTTACAATCTGGTTTTAGAGATAGCCTGGTTAAATATGAAAACTTTCATTGTTGCTGATGAGTATTTATTAACAAAGGATGAAGTAAAAGACACTGAAATGTAAAAAAAAAAAAAAAAATTGTCATCCCATGGCAAGCATGACATGACAAATATTCATTAATATTAAAGTACTGTACTATATATTATTTCATTAATTCTAAAATACACAGGTAGCTTCATTTTCACTTTATATATTATATCTTAAAGATAATCTCTAATACAATTCAGAGTACTGAGCAGGTATGCATCTACGCAACAGAAACTTTTGATGTGCTTGTATATTTTCATTGTTTGAACACCTGGAAGAAAATATTACAGTGACGCCTAAACTGTCGCACCTGGGCGCCTCTGCAAAGACAGTGATTGTTGTGAATGATGGTGAAAGTGCTGAATGATGGTGAAAGTGTTTCTTTTTTTTGGGCCACCCTGCCTCTATGGGAGATGGCTGATGTGTTAAAAAAAAAAATAGGTTCTAATATGAAAAAGCATTTAAACAGAGAAAAGCTTCAAGTGTTGGTAATTAGGAAAATTTATCCTTAATATGTCTGGTGAATTAAAAGTGCAAGATATTTCACCACCTCATTCAATAAAAGCCCTACCATGACTGACTTTGTATAATTCAAGTCTTGCACACATTTGATGAAGAGTTCTTCATGCAAGAAATTGGAACTACCCTCTCCTTCAATAGATCAAAATTGATTATGCATTCTCATTCCCTATGTGTTGGCTGACCTATGTATAACTCTTCATAACAACACATGAGACTCAAACTATGCACAGAATCTAAAAACAGCAAGTCTCTCTTCATAATGTAGCATTACTACTCTCTTTCTCTGTTGCACTACTGATATACCTTCAATGATAAATCTATAATAAAATATCTGCAGTTTTAAATCTCTCTACTACCTCTCTGATATTGTCTTACTAATGGTATATGATATAATTCAAGTGATAACCACTTGTTAAAAATGTAGCTCTATTAGCAGCCTTTCCTGTACATCTGCTTGTTACTCACAAAGGTTAGAGGAAAGAGGAGCAACACACAATTTTCATCCATACACAATTTCAAACTACTGCCTTATTTACAAAACAAAAGGTATTCTCAGTTCAAAGTAAATTTAAAAACTTATTCGGTAACTTGTGTAAAAAAAATAATTCTAGAGAATGACTATATAACTATATTACTTCACCAATGCCTTCATCAATATCGAAGCTGCTTTATACTGTTGGTACTAAAAGTACTAATGAATGAAATTAAACTTTTTGGGGTGACAGAAATGAACTAAACCATCTTTTTCAACACACAAGTTAAGAATGGGAATGATTCTGGCAGACAGACAGTGCAAGTACACTTCATATAAAGATTCAAAATAAGATATAACAAATGATATTTAACATCAATTAGCTGAAGGTAATAAGGTTGGACCAAGAGTTAAAGTTCACCACCCTAAAAGTCGGGTAGCTAAATAAAAATAAGTAATTACAGTGTCTCTGTGTAACACGTATCTCAAAAATAAAGTCAATATTTGCAACAGTCGTCAGTGAGACGATGCAAACATTCACAACTTGGAAGTCTAGTGGTAAAATAAAAATATTGCATTCACATTGCATCTCTATATAACTGTCAACAAATACACAATATCTACAAACTGTATCTCTATATAACTGTCAAAAATCACAAGATAAAAAAATATTTGTAAGCAATTAAGAAATACTTGTTTTACTTACTTCTTCTGAAGACATGAAAAGTTATGAGTACAGTACAGCTAGATCTCGATTAAGGAAAGTTTGAATGGTGTGAATTGCAATTCAGTGTGAAATTAATAACTGTCAGATTTTCCCCAAGCTCTTCAAACTATGCGAAAAAATTACATATATTTTGAATAGTGCAAATTGAAAAATGCGACCACTTCATGGGATTCATAATTAGCACTAATTGAGACTAGGCTGTACCAGAGTATATATATACAATATGGGAATTAAAAAAAAAAAAAAGTAATATTAGGCAATATTATATAAAACAACAGAAGAAAATTTACTCTAAACCTAAATGCATAAATTTTGAAGAAAATGCATAATCATTTCTTATGGATAATCTACTCTATTTTTAGGTATGATCAAGTTTGTTTCTAAAATTTCATAAGGCCTATCTTGTAGTACAAAATGCTTCAGGCATACATACAAGGTTTTGACTGGATAAGTAATCCCATCAGTAAACAGAAACTGGAATGACAGTTTTCCCACAATATTACTAACTGTGGAAGACATTATGAATTTTTAAGTGCCAGAGAATATTTTTAACCCTCTCTTCCAATAATTTTATCCCCATCATACAAGTGAGAAATGAGATAATTAAAATGAAGAGCAGTCGAATATCCTCAGCACCTGCTCTTCACTGCATGCACAATATTATCAAGCTTTCAGTAGCTATGATCCTTCCTGCATTCAAAGAAGAAAGTTTGCTGACTAATCTAGTTATTAGGAGGGAACCAAGCCCACTGGAGAAAAAATGCACACTGCCTTGATCAGACATTAAGGCATGGAATACGATAAAATGCTGCTAGGTAGACAGCAAAATAACAGTTGGTAAAGACACAATGCAACCATTCATGGGTGAAACATTGTAAAATTCAAGATTTCAATGCATTCTGTGCTAAAGGTGTTCCACCTTTAATCCAAAATTAGTTCCTAAAATATAGATAAGATTCTGTAGAGATGTTATATGATCAGACAAACTTTTACATACTCAATTTGATCACAGAGATATTAGTTGAAACAATAAAGTATTCAACAAGTTGTAATACATAACATGTTCAAAGAACATATTAAATATTAGCTGTAATGGATACTAATTACTGATGAATAAGCAATCCAGTAAGATTTAAAGATGCATCAACTCTGATAGCTATTATCTTGTTAATCTTGTCCCCCAGGATGATCACACCAGTCGACTTAACACCCAAGTACCAACTTACTACTAGAACAGGGACAGCAGGTGTTGCCAAACAAGCCATGGGACACTGTTATCCATAAAAACTGATCATGATTAAATTTAATATATGTATAACCAGTTGTGATTATGGCCACAAAGGAAATGTTTCACATACTTATGGAGATTCTCAACACACAGATTAGCCAGGAATTCTCAAGTGGGTTAATGCTCTGAAATGCATGACAAGTGTTATGCTCATGTGTGGAGGAAGCTTGCAAAGTCAAACCACTGCACTTCAATACTTCTTTCTTCTTTCAACAAACCGGCCGTATTCCACCAAAGCAGGGTGGCCCAAAAAGAAAAACAAAAATTTTTCTTTTCAACTTTAGTAATGTATACAGGATAAGGGGTTACTAGCCCCTTGCTCCTTGCATTTTAGTCACCTCTTACAACACACACGGCTTACGGAGGAAGAATTCTGTCCCACTTCCCCCTGGAGATAAGAGGAAATAAACAAGAACAAGAACTAGTAAGAAAATAAAAGAAAACCCTGAGGGATATGTATATATACGCTTGTACATGCATGTGTAGTGTGACATAAGTGTAAGTAGAAGTAACAAGATGTACCTGAAATCTTGCATGTTTATGAGACAAAAAAACAAGACACCTGCAATCCTACCATCATCTAAAGCAATTATAGGCTTTTGTTTTACACTCACTTGGCAGGACGGTATTACCTCCCTGGGCAGCTGATGTCTACCAACCTGCTCCTTAGACTTCCAATATTATTTCATGAAAAAGAAGGGGGGGGCGAGGAGGAGGGTTAACTTATCCAGCCAAGGGGCCTAATACAAATATAGAAGTCAAGATTATCTGCAGTTAAGAAAAAAATCACCAATTTCAAAATGTTACAAGTTTCGTAAAAATAAATATACAAAAAATTTCTTCAAAATTCTTATTCAAGAAAACCTCCATTATAGAAGTTCTTAAAAATTAAAAAAAATAAGCTAGAAGAGAACCCTGAAACAAATTACTGACCAAAATCAACCCAACAGCAATATCCTCTCATAACATTACTTCTGCGAATATTTTTAACAGTGACTTTCAGTATGCCTTTCCATTTAACTCATTATTCAAGAGACAAAGGTAAAGCTACAAAAGGATAAACAGAGGAATGTGATTATGGGTGAGGCATAACTGTAGGTGGCTGATAGCAACGAGGACGCTGTATGTCTGGGTCTAGATATAGTACACCACACACAGCTGAGAACCCAAATATTATGAAGAGTAACTTGAGTAACCTGTTTTCACCATTGTTCATCTCATGAGGTAAAACCTGCAAAAATAAATTTATATCATTGTTATTTACAATATCTTCAGAAAAATTATACACAGAATCCCTTTCAAAAAACAATTTCATTTTATTCTTGATACATTTCATAAATTTTATTCAAAATCAACTGAAAACATAATCTATGACAGTGTGAAACGTAAGTCTAATTTGTACACACCCAACTTCATTGTTATTTCAATTCTCATATCTGTGCACTGCAGTTTCAATATAGAAACAGTAATACAAAGAAAATGTTTGCATACTGGAGCTTAGCAAGCACAGCTGGAAGTCCAGTGAAATGTCTCAATGTGTTGTTTGCAATAAAGTTCCTAGTGCAGAGAGCATGAAACCCAGCAAGTTAGAGGAACATTATGAAAATATCAAGCATTGCTGAGCAAGTAAAGATTATGAATACTTAAAAACTAAAGTGCATTCTGATATTTTTTATAGGAAATTCAATTTTACATAATGTTAACACATTTTTACTGCCCTTTCTCCCCCAATACATTATGTTCTATGTGAATGCAAAAGTTCCATTACATGAAGTGTTCATAAGCTACATCTAAAGTAGTGGGGTTTGTCTTTGGGGGAAAAGCAAGAGGATGAGCCAGATCTCCTTTTCATTTTCTTTTTAACATCGTTATCTCCAACGAGGCAAGGTGACCGAAAAAAAAGATAGAACATTTTTTTTCTTTACATTAGTAATTTATAGAAAGGTTACTAGCCCTTTCTCCTGACTTTTGGACTAATGGTGAAAACTGAATTTCAAAAAAGTATGAAATATGTTGGCAACTGCTACATTATCAAAGTTTTAAAAACCTACCTCTATTAAGAAGAAACAATTTCAACTGTCTAAGATACATAAATCTGTTAAGTTCATTTTAGAATTGTATCTTACTTAATGTTGGGCTAGTATGCCAAGGATAAGAATTTTTTTTTTTTTTTTTTAAATGAATGTATGTTTCTTTAAACTGTGATATCGCACCCTATGGCAAAACAGTGATTGAATGTATGACCATAAATGTGTTTCATCTTGATTGGGGTCATCCTACCGTCGTGGGAAAAGGCAAGTGTGTTAAAAAGAGTTTCTCCTAACAAATTAATTAAAAGACATTAGGCAGTAGCAAAGATGAAAATAATTTTTTTATTATTTCCTGATTTGTCTATGTTCTATTTGCCATATATAAAGTAAGGTGGGGAGCTGTAATAATCCTTTTTATTTTCTTTGTTTTGCTCCTAAATGGGTACTTGTGCTAAAAAAAACACAAGATAAATATCACTGATCTACCATGTTACACTGACAAATACGCATATACATTTTTATTTTCTGAGATCCTCCAGCCTTCTACAATAATAAAAAAAAAATATAAAGACTGTTTCAAACAACTTACCTCAAAGAAGTAACATAAAGGAATGTGCCACAGGCAATGCCCTGGAGAGTGCCAGAATAGCTGTAGTGGTGAGGAGGCTTGCATCTCCATGATGGCCATGCCAATGCCTAGCCCCAGGGCGATGTTACACAAAAAAACATTTTTGGCCATCAACATCTGTTGAATAAGTAAACAGATAAAAAATATAAGAAAAAAATTAAATAAGATGGCAAATATGTTCATGATGGCAGAGCTACTAATGTATGTAGTATTTACACAACACAATTATGTATACATTACTAAAGGATAACAAAAAGATTAGGTGATAAAGATTGAATATCAGATTGGAGGAGAGAGTATGGAGGAGGTGAACGTATTCGATATTTGGGAGTGGACGTGTCAGCGGATGGGTCTATGAAAGAGAGGTGAATCTAGAATGATGAGGGAAAAAGAGTGAGTGGTGCACTTAGGAGTCTGTGGAGACAAAGAACTTTGTCCTTGGAGGCAAAGAGGGGAATGTATGAGAGAAATAGTTTTACCAACGCTCTTATATGGGTGTGAAGCGGGGGTGATGAATGTTTGCAGCGAGGAGAAGGCTGGAGCAGTGAGTGTCATGTCTGAGGGCAATGTGTGGTGTGAATATAATGCAGAGAATTCGTAGTTTGGAAGTTAGAGGAGGTGCGGGATTACCAAAACTGTTGTCCAGAGGGCTGAGGAAGGGTTGTTGAGGTGGTTCGGAACTGTAGAGAGAATGGAGCGAACAGAATGACTTCAAGAGTGTATCAGTCTGTAGTGGAAGGAAGGCGGGTAGGGTGGGCCTAGGAAGGGTTGGAGGGAGGGGGTAAAGGAGGTTTTGGTGCGAGGGGCTTGGACTTCCGCAGGCATGCGTGAGCGTGTTTGATAGGAGTGAATGGAGACAAATGGTTTTTTAATACTTGACGTGCTGTTGGAGTGTGAGCAAAGTAACATTTATGAAGGGTTTCAGGGAAACCGGCAGGCCGGACTTGAGTCCTGGAGATGGGAAGTACAGTGCCTGCACTCTGAAGGAGGGGGTGTTAATGTTGCAGTTTAAAACTGTAGTGTAAAGCACCCTCTGGCAAGACAGTGATGGAGTGAATGATGGTAAAAGTTTTTCTTTTTCGGGCCACCCTGCCTTGGTGGGAATCGGCGGTGTGATAATAAAAAAATAAAATTACAAAAGTTAAATAGAGAAACTTTTTTTTTTTTTGGGCCACCCTGCTTCGGGGGGATATGGCCAGTTTGTTGAAAGGAGAAAAAAATTTATAAAGGGAGTGCCCAAAAATTATTGCTAAAAATATTATAAAATCAAACACCCTGTATAATTTTACTTATTAAACATCTAAAACTAAACCTCTGACTATCTTAAGCAGAGGATCGGTACTAAGAAATATGCACCTTTTACAGAATCTTTAAGGGATAATGTTAGAGGAACCCTACAAAGGGGGTGTGTGCTTGTTTGAAGATGCTTACTAAGGAATCCATGCCTCTTAGGGACCCTTTTCAAAGAGATATGTACCCACTAGGGAATCCTTAAGCGATATATAATTATTATACTAACGGGATACAATACCGACAAGTAGATGAATAAGACGTGCAACACTTTGGGGTCTTTTTTTCCAAAATTTTTTTTCCTGCACAGCAGCAGAAGGACTGAACACTCAAAATTACTTCCCACTTCCAGCAAGACAGACTGAATACATTATTCTCTTCTTCAAATGTCATTAGTAATTTAATGACCTTCATATTTTACTGATGAAGCCTGCTGCAACGGCAAAACATTTTGGAAATAGATAGCAGTTGAACGTATGTCTTGTTCCCTCTAGTTCTAAGGGATATTTACCTACTAGAGGATCCATACTAAGGGATATTGTCCCACTAAAGGATCCTCACTAAGGGATATGTACTCAATAGATGATCTGTACTAGGAATATGTATCCAGTAGAGGATCTATACTAAACCCACTAGAGGAACTTTACTATGGGATATGTATCTACTAGAGAATCCTTACTAAATGATATGTACCCACTAGAGGTTCTGTATTAAGGGATAAGTACCTGCTGGCAGAACCTTACTAAGGAATATATGTTCATTATGAGGCAGTATTAAAACAAGAAAAATTACTAAATCAATTACTGGTATTTCACTAGTGGTTTTCACACTGACTTGTAATTTACAGACCAGTTCCCATACCTTCAGCTTGTCTTAACTCTTTCGCTGTCCAGCCCCCAAAATTAATATTACTCTCAGTATCTACTTTAAAAATATTTTTTGTTTTCTTCTGAAATGATGAAAGAATCTTCTAAACATAATGACACAATACAAAATCTGACAGAAAAACTTACGGATTACGCAGGCAAAAATTAGTGGTCTGGACGCAATTTACACATTGGCAATTTGCCCACTTTGAGTCCTATTTTCAGCTGGTTCCATTAATCCATTTGACCAATTCTTAAGCAATTTTACCAGTATGCTTTCTGTTCCACTAAGTGAACACAAGAATCTTCCCATTTAACTATTACAGTGGAACCCCAGATTTCGGCAGTAATCCGTTCCAGAAGGTCACCTAAATCCGAAAATGCATATCTTCTTTCTTCTTTCAACACACCGGCCGTATCCCCACCGAGGTGGGGTGGCCCAAAAGGAAAAACAAAAGTTTCTCCTTTTACATTTAGTAATATATACAGGAGAAGAGGTTACTAGCCCCTTGCTCCCGGCATTTTAGTCGCCTCTTACAACACGCATGGCTTACGGAGGAAGAATTCTGTTCCACTTCCCTATGGAGAATAAGAGGAAATAAACAAGAATAAGAACTAGAAAGAAAATAGAAGAAAACCCAGAGGGGTGCGTATATATGTGCTTGTACATGTATGTGTAGTGTGACCTAAGTGTAAGTAGAAGTAGCAAGACGTACCTGAAATCTTGCATGTTCATGAGACAGAAAAAAGGACACCAGCAATCCTACCATCATGTAAAACAATTACAGGCTTTCGTTTTACACTCACTTGGCAGGACGGTAGTACCTCCCTGGGCGGTTGCTGTCTAACAACCTACTACCTATGAAAATGCATATATGAACAGCATATATGTGAACAGTATTTAGATAAAGGTAGGGAAGTTTTTATTGCATTTATGGATTTAGAAAAGGCATATGATAGAGTGGATAGAGGAGCAATGTGGCAGATGTTGCAAGTATATGGAATAGGTGGTAAGTTATTAAATGCTGCAAAGAGTTTTTATGAGGATAGTGAGGCTCAGGTTAGGGTGTGTAGAAGAGAAGGAGACTACTTCCCGGTAAAAGTAGGTCTTAGACAGGGATGTGTAATGTCACCATAGTTGTTTAATATATTTATAGATGGGGTTGTTAAAGGAAGTAAATGCTAGGGTGTTCGGGAGAGGGGTGGGATTAAATTTTGGGGAATCAAATTCAAAATGAGAATTGACAGTTACTTTTTGCTGATGATACTGTACTTATGGGAGATTCTAAAGAAAAATTGCAAAGGTTAGTGGATGAGTTTGGGAATGTGTGTAAAGGCAGAAAGTTGAAAGTGAACATAGAAAAGAGTAAGGTGATGAGGGTATCAAATGATTTAGATAAAAGAAAAATGGATATCAAATTGGGGAGGAGTATGGAAGAAGTGAATGTTTTCAGATACTTGGGAGTTGACGTGTCGGCAGATGGATTTATGAAGGATGAGGTTAATCATAGAATTGATGAGGGAAAAAAGGTAAGTGGTGCGTTGAGGTATATGTGGAGTCAAAAAACGTTAACTATGGAGCAAAGAAGGGAATGTATGAAAGTATAGTAGTACCAACACTCTTACATGGGTGTGAAGCTTGGGTGGTAAATGCAGCAGCGAGGAGAACGGTTGGAGGCAGTGGAGATGTCCTGTTTAAGGGCAATGTGTGGTGTAAATATTATGCGGAAAATTCGGAGTGTGGAAATTAGGAAAAGGTGTGGAGTTAATAAAAGTATTAGTCAGAGGGCAGAAGAGGGGTTGTTGAGGTGGTTTGGTCATTTAGAGAGAATGGATCAAAGTAGTATGACATGGAAAGCATATAAATCTATAGGGAAAGGAAGCGGGGTAGGGTCGTCCTCGAAAGGGTTGGAGAGAGGGGGTAAAGGAGGTTTTGTGGGCAAGGGGCTTGGACTTCCAGCAAGCGTGTGTGAGCGTGTTAGATCGGAGTGAATGGAGACGAATGGTACTTGGGACCTGACGATCTGTTGGAGTGTGAGCAGGGTAATATTTAGTGAAGGGATTCAGGGAAACTGGTTATTTTCATATAGTTGGACTTGAGTCCTGGAAATGGGAAGTACAATGCCTGCACTTTAAAGGAGGGGTTTGGGTATTGGCAGTTTGGAGGATATGTTGTGTATCTTTATATGTGTATTGCTTCTAAAACTGTTTGTATACTGAGCACCTCTGCAAAAACAGTGATAATGTGTGAGTGTGGTGAAAGTGTTGAATGATGATGAAAGTATTTCTTTTTGGGGATTTTTTCTTTCTTTTTGGGTCACCCTGCCTCGGTGGGAGATGGCCGACTTGTTGACAAAAAAAAAAAAAAAAACAATTAATGAATGATGATGAAAGTATTTTCTTTTTGGGGATTTTCTTTCTTTTTGGGTCACCCTGCCTCAGCGGGAGATGTAAGAACATAAGAAGGAACACTGCAACAGGCCTGCCTACTGACCCATGCGGAGCAGGTCCATGTCCCCCCCCCCCCCGGATTAACCCAATGACCCACCCACCTTGGATTAGCCCAATGACCCACCCAGTCTGGTCACCTCCACTCAACGAAGGAGCATGGCACCAGACCCAGCAGCACAAGCTAGTCAGGTCCAACTCACATCTACCCACACCCACTCATGTATTTATCTAGCCTATTTTTAAAACTACACAATGTTTTAGCCTGAATAACTGTACTCGGGAGTTTGTTCCACTCATCCACAACTCTATTTCCAAACCAGTGCTTTCCTATATCCTTCCTGAATCTGAATTTTTTCCAACTTGAAACCTTTGTTGCGAGTCCTGTCTTGGCTGGAAATTTTCAGCACGCTATTTACATCCCCTTTATATATTCCTGTTTTCCATTTATACACCTCAATCATATCCCCCCTAATTCTACGCCTTTCGAGAGAGTGCAGATTCAGGGCCGTTAGTCTATCCTCATAGGGAAGATTTCTGATACACGGGATCATCTTTGTCATCCTCCTCTGTACGTTTTCCAGAGCATTTATATCCATTCTGTAGTACGGTGACCAGAACTGAGCAGCATAGTCTAAATGGGGCCTAACCAAGGATTAACTATAGTTTTAAATACACAAAACAATGAGAACTAAATAAAATGACTAATGAAATGAATAAATGAACATTTAACCCTTTCAGGGTTTCGGACGTACTAGTACGGCTTAGGCACAAGGGTTTTTGACGTATTAGTACACCTAAATTCTAGCGCCCTCAAATCTAGAGAGAAAGCTGGTAGGCCTACATATGAAAGAATGGGTCTCTGTGGTCAGTGTGCGCGGTACAAAAAAAATCCTGCAGCACACAGTGCATAATGAGAAAAAAAAAACTTTGACCGTGTTTTTGGATTAAAACACCGACTTTGCACTGCATTTTGGAATGGTATTTATTGTTGTATTCCAGTTTTCCTGGTCTCATTTTATAAATTGGAAGACATATTACAGAAATTGAGATGACTTTGACTGGTTTTACAAAGAAAACTACCTTGAAATTTCACTCAAAGTAGCAGAAATGTTCAATTTTTACCAAAATCAAAGTAAACAAATCATGATATGCATCCAATACACGTCAACTGGTGAGTCTAATATTCTTTCACAGATGTGTTGATATTATTTATACCATTTTCTATACTAATGCAGTAGTCTACATAACAGTAAATCTTCTTTTTTGTGAGAATAAAAATTCAAGTGGAAAGCAAAAGAATGTAAGAGGGGCATGAGGACAGACTAATGAACAGAGGAAATGTTATTTTAGTGCCAGGAATGACTTTCTTGTTTATTCTGGACCTATTCGGAAATTGGCATCTTTTGAAATTTGTGTGAAATTGGCAAAATTGCTAAATTCTGACCACTGTATTGGATAGTTGAAATCGTAAATGGGTGGTTTCTTGTACTCATTCGATAGAAAAAATGGAGTTCTAGCGAAATAGTTATAATTTTTGTCACAAGTACACTGGAATTTGCCAAAAATAGGGCTCAAATTGGGCAAAATCACCGATGTGTAAACACTGTCAAGACCACTAACTTTGCGAGAGCATAATTCCGTAAGTTTTCCATCAAATTTCATACTTTTGGTGTCATTATGATCAGGAAAAGATTCTCTATCTTTTCATAAGAAAAAATATATATTTTTTTTTTTTTGAAATTTGGCCGACCCTGAGAACAAGTCTCTGAGAGGGCCTGTCAACCCTGAAAGGGTTAACATCACATTTACCTTTATTAAAGATTCTTGTTGGCATATTGAAGACAGGGAGAAGGAGAAAGGGAGGACTGATTATTGTTTGGAAGGGGAATCCCCCACCATAAGGACTTCAGGTATCATGTCCCTATCCAGGGTTACTTCCCTTCTTTGTCTTCTACTGGCACTAGGACCAGCTTGAAAGTCACTGCAACCCCTGTTGCACAAAAAAACTGTCCAGAGAGGTCTATTGCTGGAAGTGGCACAATGTTTTGTCACTGAACATGTTGCAGATCTGGCTTGTTTCAGCTTGGTCAGGGTGATACTTCTCCACAAAACTTTGCACCTCCCTGGCACACATACACCACTTTCATAATTTGCAACAATTTCTTTCTTGAATTCTATCGTGTTTCTCACTTTCTTTACCAAAGGGCTGGCAAGGGAACTTTCTTTGGGCCCGAGGTGGCTTATTTTGCAGTCACACTAAATAAACAGCCACAAAAAACAATGGATTATAATGAAATGTTTGGATCAATGCCTGGAGTGTTGCTCACTCACCGAGAGACACTGCCAGACTGACTCACGCATGCGGCGTGGTGGGTGGACGCGTCCAATATGGCCGTTTTTCCAAGTTGCTGGCCAAAATCCAGGATAGAATTTCGGCCAAAAAAGAGGCCAAAATCCAATTTGACCGATATCTGCACTGGCCAATATCTGGGGGTCCACTGTACTACTTTATAAAATGCACAGAAGTGGTAATTTGACTAATTTTACACAAAATTAAAAAAAATATTAGTTTAAAAATAGAATACAAAAAAAATAAACAACAGTCCAGGCACTAAAAACAACATTTTCTCTGTTCATTAGTCATGTCCCCAGGCCTCTCCTAATTATACTTGCCTTCCATTTTAAATTTTTAATCAGACAAATGGATGAATTACTTTATTTTTCAGATAATAAAATGTAATCAGGAATGGTTGGTCATGGTTTGCAACATCCCAGTATTTGAAACAGACCAAATTACAAAACCCATGGTCTTCAATCAACCAAAATCATCTCTATTTCGATAGTATTTCTTCCATTCTATCAAATTATACCAAGAAATAGCTAATAAAACCATAAAAAACATCTTGTAAAACACCTCAAATTCTCTATTTTAAACCAAACACATTGTCAGATTTTTGCTTTTCTCATCATCCATGCATGGGCCAGGATTCTTTTATATTATGTACTGTGCACACTCACTATACAGGCCCATTTTTTTCATATCTAGGGCCAAAGTATACTTCTCACAGCTTATCTGAGAGGGTGAGCTCATGACATAGAACTATATAAAGGATCCCTAGCCTCAATGATGTAGTTCTATGTGATGTCCAATGAAAGAATTTAACTAGTGGTAAAGGGATTAAAATGCTACAAGACTCTTAGAATGATTATGTATTTATTAAACTACATGTATTTATATTCCCTTGCTGCACAAATTACACAACTTATATGCATCTTCCAAAAAATGAATAAATTTGCTGCTTAATATTTCCATCCTTGAATAAGGAAAATAATTTGATTTAATAATTTTGAGAATGAAAGTATACCTGGAATATAGAAAGCTTGGACTGCACCTGTTGAGTCCAAAGTGATATGCAATAAGGCTTTATGGAGTTTTACCACGAGGAATAAGCTCACTACATCATCAAATCTGTCCTGAGACCAATTGCCATTCCTTCAAAAATCTGCAAAATATAAAGAAAACTGAGCATACTTAATACATGTTGAAAATTAGACACATGTGGACATCTGGGTATCTTTATTGTAGACTTTTGCCAAGGAGTGGCTTTATCAATTATAGGTTCTAGGCATAACTTGAAGACTACTATATACAAAAGATGAGGTAATAAGTCCCTCAGCCTTGGAGTTGGTGTGTAGAGCACCATAGTTGAAGAGAGTCTGGAGCACAAGCGAGGAGGATGGCGCTTAAATAGCATCAGTGGTTAGGGATGGTTAGCAGACGAGGGCATAGTCACTGGTAGGGCGGGTTTTCCCAGTGGAAGTAGGTCAACACAATTGATGGGTTAATGGTAGTAATAGTTGCAGTAGCTGTGAAGAAAGTTATGTAGATGTTCTCTGAACCAATTATTCCATGATGTTGCAGTGTCTGACAAGCTGTACATGAATGTTATACAATACCAACCAGTTGAAAAATCAAACATTTTCAACTTGTTGGTATTGTATACCATTCATGTACATACTTAATACAAACATACATAGCATACATTCACCCCTATTATCAGGAGGAGAGTGGTGGGGCACCTAGAAAGAGTGGGTTCATACATGACAACCAACATGGCTTTAAAGATTATAAATCTTTTCAGTGGAAGATTTAAATTGGTTTTAGGCTGTGTAAGTGCCAATTTGCAATTTTTATTGGAAGAATTAGGATGTAAGTTTTTATGCAGTAACCAGTGAATGCCTCTTCTAACTGGCTTTAGATCTTCAACACTGATTTTAACTGCTTTAGAAAGTTAAGGGCTGGGCTTACAGAATAATAGATAGCTTTCTTGAATAGCGCAGTGACCAAAACAAATCGAGTGAACTTCTGCAGAGCCAGAAAATTTATTTTATTGGGCCTCAGAACTTCCACAATGCTGGAAAATCAATTTTTTTCTGTCCTCAAGAAGAGTGACTATGGACTGCATAATGACTTTATCCAACCTAAGGACTTTTTTTTTTCCTGGGATTGGGTTAGCTGGACAAATTGAAAAGTCCTTGATCAGATAATGAGTGAAAGAATACACACATATAGCTCTTAGTGAAGTAAACTTTATTTGACATGATCTATTAAAAATTATTTACAGATAAGACAAATTAAACAAATCTGATACCTACAGAATGAAGTGATAATGCAAACAAGAGGAGAAGGGAGCGCAGGGATGAGTGAGATGCGATGTCGTGATGGATGGAGTGGTCAAAGAGCTGGATGTGCATGTGGCTGTCGTCCGGTTCAACAATGATCATCTACTGTTCCATATCCACGATGTGATCCACCCAGTGAACCATTTTCACTCCTACAAAAAATCATGGAACTCAATTTTCCAAATAAATGACACTGATCCATAACTTAATTATTATAAGGGAATATCAGTAGGTGCCAAGCTATGAGTGCTCAAGTCACAAACTTCACTTAGAAATGGGACACTCCTAAAACAATAAAAGATATATGAATGTTTATTTGTAATTACAAACAAACATCACTTAAACTACCTATATTTTTTCTAAGGAAAAATAAATTCGGAGTTACAAATGTGTAGTTTAAAAATTAGAACAGCAAAAAATGAACATTTTTATAAGCTGTGCAAGAAGAATACATGGAATCATTTGAATACTGAGCATATTACTTCAGGCTAAGCATTAATATAAATTGCTGGTACTGTATCTGAAAATACAATATACAGTAGAACCTCCCTAACGAGTCTAATCCGTTCCGTGACCTTGCTCGCATCTGGATTTGCTCGTTTGCAGAGTCAATTTTCCTCATTTAAATTAACTGAAATACAATTAATTCATTCCAGTGGAATTGCAGGCACCATAAAATACTTCAATAATTTCCCTAATATCAACTCTACAGCTTATTTATCTATCACAATTCAATTCAATTCAATTCAAGTTTATTCTCTATAAAGATGACAATGTGGGGTTTATATGCAAGCGTGCATGAGCGTGTTAGATAGGAGTGAATGGAGGCGAATGATACTTGGGACCTGACGATCTGTTGGAGTGTGAGCAGGGTAATATTTAGTGAAGGGATTCAGGGAAACCGGTTATGTTCATATAGTCAGATTTGAGTCCTGGAAATGGGAAGTACAGTGGACCCCCGGTTAACGATATTTTTTCACTCCAGAAGTATGTTCAGGTGCCAGTACTGACCGAATTTGTTCCCATAAGAAATATTGTGAAGTAGATTAGTCCATTTCAGACCCCCAAACATACACGTACAAACGCACTTACTTAAATACACTTACATAATTGGTCGCATTCGGAGGTAATCGTTATGCGGGGGTCCACTGTACAATGCCTGCACTTTAAAGGAGGGGTTTGGGATATTGGCAGTTTGGAGGGATATGTTGTGTATCTTTATACGTATATGCTTCTAAGCTGTTATATTCTGAGCACCTCTGCAAAAGCAGTGATAATGTGTGAGTGTGGTGAAGGTGTTGAATGATGATGAAAGTACTTTCTTTTTGGGGATTTTCTTTCTTTTTTGGGTCACCCTGCCTCGGTGGGAGACGGCCGACTTGTTGAAAAAAAAAAAAAATAAATAAAACTAATTACAAAGAGGGCCACTATCACACCTAGCATGACTAGGCATAATGACATAATGAACAATATTAATAACATAGAAACATGATATATACACTAGAATGTATGAAATACAGTGGACCTTCGGTTATCGGCCGGTTCTGTTATCGGCCAACTCAGTTATCAGCGGGTTTTTTGGCGCCCAGTTATCGGCCGTTTGGGACGTGTCCATCCGCCGGCTGGGGCTGCTTGCGCAGCAGTTTGGCTTTCTCTCTTGGTGGCTGAGGAAGTTTCTGCTCATACATCCAAACATTTTGCTTGTTTTCCATTGTTTTTAGTGTTTTTTTTTTGCAGTGCAACTGTGAAATAAGCAACCATGGCTCCAAAGAAAGTTCCTGCGGTAAAGAAAGTGAGAAACACCATGGAATTTAAGCGTGAAGTGATAGAAAAGTTTGAGAGTGGTATGAAGGTGGTGGAACTTGCCAGGATGTACAGCAAGAATAGATCAACAATTACATCCATCCTGGCAAAGAAAGAACAAATCAAAGACACTAATGTTGCAAAAGGAGTAACTTTTCTAACTAAACAAAGGCCACCAATAATGCAAGAGATGGAAAAGTTATTATTGTGGATTAAGGAAAAAGAATTAGTGGGAGACAGTGTTGTGGAGTCTATTATTTGTGAGAAGGTACAGCAGTTGCATGAGGATCTTGCAAAGAAAATGCCTGGAACAAGTGCTGCAGTTTGTGAATTTATGGCCAGCAAAGGATGGTTTGATAGATTTAAGAAGCGTAGGGGCATACACAGCATTGTAAGGCATGGTGAGGCAGTAAGTTCTGACAAATGTGCGGCTGAAAAATTCGTGCAGGAATTCCAGGGGTACATAGAGGCTGAAGGATTCAAACCCCAACATGTGTTCAATTGTGACGAAACAGGTCTGTTTTGGAAGAAAATGCCAAACATGACCTACATTACCCAGGAGGAAAAGGCACTGCCAGGACACAAGCCTATGAAAGACAGGCTTACTCTTTTGTTGTGTGGTAATGCTAGTGGGGATTTCAAAGTGAAGCCTTTACTCGTGTATCACTCAGAAAATCCCAGAGTGTTCAAGAAAAACAATGTCATGAAGAATAGATTGTGTGTGATGTGAAAAGCTAATCATAACGCATGGGTCACAAGGCAAATTTTCAAAGAGTGGGTTAACCCTTTGACTGTCGCGGCCGTATATATACGTCTTACGAGGTACCGAGTTTGACGTATATATACTCATAAATTCTAGCGGCTTCAAATCAAGCAGGAGAAAGCTGGTAGGCCCACATGTGAGAGAATGGGTCTGTGTGGTCAGTGTGCACCATATAAAAAAATCTTGGAGCACGCAGTGCATAATGAGAAAGAAAAAACTCAGACCATTTTTTTAATAAAAATGCCGACTTTGTGGTCTATTTTCGTATAGTATTTATGGTTGTATTCTCATTTTCTTGGTCTCATTTGATAGAATGGAAAACATATTATAGAAAGAGGTGATTTTGATTGATTTTACTATAAAAAGAACCTGGAAATGGAGCTCAAAGTAGGGAAAATGTTTGATTTTTGCCAATGTTCAAAAGTAAACAAATGATGTCATTGTCCAATAAATGTCCAACTAGCCATTCTAATATGCAGTCATGAATGGGTTGATGTTATTTATACAATTACTACAGTATTGCAATAGTCTGCATAATAGTAAGTCTTCTATTTTTTGTTAGAATAAAAATTCAAAATAGAAAGCAAGAGTAATATCAGAGGGGCCTGGAGACATGACTGATGAACAAAGAAAATGTTATTTTAGAGCCAGGAATGTCTGCATTGTTCATTCTGGACCTTATTTTGAAATTGTCATATTTTTTAATTTTCGTGAAATTGGCCAAATTGCAAATTTCTGACCATGTTATTGGGTAGTTAAAAATCGGTAAATGGGCAGTTTCTTGTACTCAATCGATAGAAAAAATGGAGTTCTAAAGAAATAGCTATGAGTTTGGTCAACCTGAACAATGGAATTAGCCGAAAATAGGGCTCAAAATGGGCGAAATCGCCGATTTGTAAACAGCGCCGAGGTCGCTAACTTCGCGAGAGCATAACTCCGTCAGTTTTCCATCAAATTTCGTTTTTTTGGTGTCATTACAATCGGGAAAAGATTTTCTATCATTTCATAAGAAAAAATAATTTTTTTTTTAAATTTTGCGACACCAGGAGACACCTCAGGATTGGGGGTTGCGACAGTCAAAGGGTTAATGATGTCTTTGGCCCAAGTGTGAAAAAATACTGGAAAAGAAATTGCCACTCAAGTGCCTCCTGGTACTGGACAATGCTCCTGCACATCCTCCAGACTTGCAAGACCAAGTGTTTAGGGACTTCAGTTTCATCACAGTGAAGTTCTTTCCTCCTAACACCACTCCTCTCCTCCAGCCCATGGACCAGCAGGTAATTTCTAACTTCAAAAAGCTCTACACAAAAGCAGTGTTTCAAAAGTGCTTTGAAGTGACCTCGGATACTCAGATGACCCTAAGAGAGTTCTGGAGGAATCACTTCACTATCCTCCATTGCATAAGCCTAATAGGTAAGGCTCAGGAGGGAGTGTCTTCCAGGACTTTGAACTCTGCTTGGAGAAAACTGTGGCCAGATTGTGTCCAAGAGAGGGATTTTGAAGGGTTTGAGGCTGACCCTGACCCTGTAGACTCTATTGTGGCACTGGGCAAGTCCCTGGGGTTGGAGGCGAGTGGCGAGGATGTGGAAGACAACAGGGAAGGGCTAACCACTGAAGAGCTGCAAGAGCTTCAACTTGAACAGCAACAGACTGCAGCTGAGGAACTTGCTTCAGAGGAGGAGGAAGAGGGAGTGAAGGAGGTGCCTTCTTTAGAGATTAAAGAGGTGTGTGCAATGTAGACTAGGGTGCAAGCTTTTGTAGAGAAACACCACTCTGACAAAACTGAAACAAGCCATATCTGCAATATGTTTAGTGACAAAACCGTGTCCCACTTCAGGGAAATCTTAAAGAGATGCCAGAAACAGAGCACTCTGGACAGTTATTTTGTGAGACAGGGGTCCAGTGACTCTCCAGCTGGTCCTAGTGGCATTAAAAGACAAAGAAGGGAAGTAACCCCAGAGAAGGCTTTGCTACCTTAAGTCTTTATGAAGGGGGATTTCCCTTCCAAACACTCCCTCTTTCCTCTTCCCTATCTTCTAGAAGCCAGCATCAGCCTTCAATAAAGGTAAGTAATACTTACATAATTGTTAAAAAAAAATTATTTTTTTGTGAATATTTTTGTCTGGAATGGATTAGTTGTAGTATATCCATTAATTCTTATGGGAAATATTAATTCGTTTTCCGATCATTTTGGTTATCAGCTGACCTTCCGGAACGGATTACGGCCGATAACCGGGGGTACACTGTATTACGTATGTGAGTAGTGTTAGTGGCTGCCATTGTTGTTGGGGCCACCACAGCAGCCATTCTCCTACCGGCTTCAAACCTTCCCATGCTTTTATTATAACGGAAAATGGAGTGTTTGTAAGGCAAACTCCATTAGATTGTCCTTTTTCTATCACTTAATCATTTAATTGCTACACTCTTAATGGTACACTTAATGGTACACTCTTAATGGTACATTCTTAATGATACACTCTTAATAGTACACCTAGTTTGTGTTTATGTATGATTTCCTGCTTTAATTCCATGGAAATCATCCTCTTTTTTCTTCTCAGCACTGTCCATTGCACTTGCTTTCTTAGG